AGAGAGAGAGAGAGAGAGAGAGAGAGAGAGAGAGAGAGAGAGAGAGAGAGAGAGAGAGAGAGAGAGAGAGAGAGAGAGAGAGAGAGAGAGAGAGAGAGAGAGAGAGAGAGAGAGAGAGAGAGAGAGAGAGAGAGAGAGAGAGAGAGAGAGAGAGAGAGAGAGAGAGAGAGAGAGAGAGAGAGAGAGAGAGAGAGAGAGAGAGAGAGAGAGAGAGAGAGAGAGAGAGAGAGAGAGAGAGAGAGAGAGAGAGAGAGAGAGAGAGAGAGAGAGAGAGAGAGAGAGAGAGAGAGAGAGAGAGAGAGAGAGAGAGAGAGAGAGAGAGAGAGAGAGAGAGAGAGAGAGAGAGAGAGAGAGAGAGAGAGAGAGAGAGAGAGAGAGAGAGAGAGAGAGAGAGAGAGAGAGAGAGAGAGAGAGAGAGAGAGAGAGAGAGAGAGAGAGAGAGAGAGAGAGAGAGAGAGAGAGAGAGAGAGAGAGAGAGAGAGAGAGAGAGAAGGAGAGAGAGAGAGAGAGAGAGAGAAGGAGAGAGAGAGAGGTGTCCCATAATAATGCACATACATGTAGATAGTTTTACTTTATTCAGAAGTACATATGATTGGTTGGATATATAGTCATGTGAAGGTTGGTGACAGGAGAATTATGATTGTATTAATATTGACCAAGTGTATATAATGTACCATTTCTGAAACAGCAGGTTAAAATAAATTCAATTCACTTCATGACATGATTCATATTAGTCTCTGTCTTTGTAGTATTTTTTTCTCTGTACAATTTGCATTAGTTCCATCTTGTTCGATGATAAAAACATTATTTAGCACCTAATAATTATTTTGAACTTAACTTTTGGTAAATTAATGTGAATATTCACACATGTATTAGATCACCTCAACAAAATTGATAAATATCCAAGAAACTTAAGTGTTCACTACTGCAGGGTGCCTTTTAGTTTGAATGCCATTTAACTAATACATATTTATCACCATTGATGCTATTATTAATTGTATAAATGATCATTATGAATAAAAATCACAAGGTTTGCTATTATATAATTGAATCATAGATTGTGATATTGCCTTAACTTCATTATTATGATATCATCTATTAATTTGGTAATAACACAGAATAAAGTGATAACAGAAAAAAGTGATATCTTTGGGATAATATGATCTATATATATACAGTAAAATTTTAAGGCAACTATTTCACTTTGGAATGACCCACAGTGGTCCATGTGGACAAAGGGAAGTAACTCGTTATATTTAGATAATATTATGAAACACCTATCTATTGCCATTAATTACTGTTTTGTTTGTCCATATTACTAGATAACGACACGTTCATAGTTAAAATTATCTGTCTGTGAAATCGTGGCTTTTTTAGACGTGAACAGTCCTTAGGTACACCGTTCACTTGCCTGGTCACTTCGACTTTTCTGTCACTTCGGACCGACTGAAAATAGACCTAACTGCTCTTGGCGAAACTCGCCCTGATTGGTTGATAAATGGGTTTTTGGAGCACCCCATTTTTACCCTATTATTGTCAATGAAATTATTGTTTGACTGTAAAACATACTTAAAATCTATAAACATATTGAAATCGATATATATACCGTGTTTAAGTCGCATATCATTATAAAATGTGTCCCCGCTGATGAAATTTGTCAAAACCTGCCTTTCGGGGCATCTCTAGACTTTTCCTCAGAGGATCCTAATAGTACTACTGACAGGTTCAACATAATTTTGTGTCTGGTGCTACCTCAACACAGGTTTACACATCGACGGAGAGCACCACAAAGATAACATTAATTGCAGGTATAATATCGAGCATGTGGACCTTCAATTCTGGTTGTTTTTATGCTACATTCAATCAGTTATCAATATTTCAAATTTGGGAAATTTCCGATGTCAGACCGAAACACAAGTGATTGGCATCACGTAGACAATTTTGGATCTGTTTTTACACAAGGCATCAGACTCTGCACAAAGTATTGATCTAGGTCACCTCCTGCTGTTTTGACATTTATGCTAATAATAAACTAATTGCAACAGAACAGTTTTATGAATGATAATAGCCTAACCAGAAATTCTTGATTTGTTGTCTGCATTCAGCGAATGGTTTCACTCGTGATCAATCGATTTCAGCTGATCAAAAAGTTCCGAATAGCATATTGTGGAATCGTTTAGGATTCTACCTGTTCACTTATTATTCATTGGGCATCCATGATAGCTTAGATAGAATGCCATAGTGACACTTACTTATATGTCTTATTTTATATTAAGTTAATAATCATGACTTTAATTAGGTGACAGTAGAAACGACCCAAACAAACACAATCAACTTATCAAGGCCAAGTTACAAAAGACTTGTCCAGTTGTCATTATACTCAAATGTTAAAAGTTGGAAAATTCAGCTTTATCCCTTGTGCTCCTTTTTTACCACTGTATATTTTGAGATTTGCTCTTGGATATTTGGCATCATCCCCGATATCCTGTGTTACACTCACTTACAGGATATACAGATATATATGCACTGCATGTATAAGCACAAAGTACTGATCATGACTCAAACCTTAGAATGTAAGACCAGGGCTATTTTATTCTAATTCAGTTGCAACAAAACTGATTAAACCATGGACTAAACAATGTTATGATTAAATATAGATCTGGTTTCAGAACTCAAATAGGTCGCACTGCCCTAAATTATAGTGACATAAATTTAGAAACACAACTTCAAAGTATGGTGGAATATTTACATTATCGTTTTATCATTTTTCTTTTCTGATACATTTGGCGCTAAACTAGATACTAAAGGATACCTGCAGAAGATGGTATAAAGAATCTCATATATTTTTGGGGTAAAACACTTTTATTTAGGTTAGGGAGGATTTTATCGCAAATGGATTTGGTTGATTATTGCCAGCATCCTGAAGTGGCCGAGGTGGTAATAGAGCGTATAAATCCATCAGGTCGAAATGAAGTCCTTGGCTAAAATCCCAATCTGGCAATTATTTTTTCCTTTAAAACCTTTCGCTTCTTGTATATCTTATCAGCTATAATTCAAATATATGGGCTACCATTTTGTTCCATTTAAGTGATGTTGCTATAATGAATCACCAATTCTTTGTAGTGAAATCACCAGATCATTTGTAACTGTTCCAGTTACAGGAGTGAAAAAGTAATGTCACCAATTCACTACAATGATAGTGTAAGATGAAAGAAAATACTGTGCTTCCACCTGAGATATAACCCGCGATTCTTAGGTTCCTAGTCGGACGCTCTACCACTTAGCTAAAGGGAAATTCCTCTATCTGGAAGCTAGAAGCTAAGGTGGCCTTATCCTATGTACTACCTGTATTAGAATCTGCCACAATAACACTTAAGTGAGTAGGTGATGTTAAATTACTAAATGAATAAAGAATGCTATAAATGTCACTCTGGTAAAATACATTTACTAGTTGCTTCCTAGATACTTGGCTAGGGAGAATTTCTCCTCAACTCTGACACTTAGGTAGAGCATAATCAAGTAAACCAGAGGTTTGAATTCCCCACGTTGGAACGACTTTACAATGGCGTCCCACGTTGGGCGCTATTGTAAAGTCGTTCACTCCTCAGTAACAACGAGCACAAGATTTAGGTTCATTTGTTTATTACCAGTAGATAAACCTAAAATGCAATATATTAGTATTAAAATATATGAGTCGAACTAAGTACGAAACTAACGTTTACAATAAATGTGAAACGGTGTCTATCTACACTATTTAGTTCTACTTTTGCTTTATAAGCTTCAACGTTATTTTACAGATATAGTATCATATTATCTTATATTCTATTGCACTGTGCTATAATGTACATTTACATATTACTATTACAATGATAAGCTTACCAGAGGCCTGGAAAGGTCTGTCCTGCTCCGACGGCAGCACAGTGCAGAGTGAGGTGGGAAGGTTACGGGTGCGTGTGTATACGACACCCAGGGTGGCGTGAGTATTGGAAATACTCGTGCAATCGCATTCGCTCGACCTTACATGTATTCGTTATAAAACGGGTACGATAGACAACACATACAAGTAACCATGCTGACCTAGTGCATCGAGTACACCCTGTTACATATTCAATAGCCAAAGTTACCTCTGGCAGGCCCCTGACACCAGACTTTAGACATTTTGACAGATAGATGTCTGGTCTGTCAAAATGTCTAAAGTCTAGTGTCAGGGCCCGAGGAAACTTAGGCTATACTTTCTAAAGAATTGCAATGACTCTGACAAAACTTAGACAAGGGCTGGTTGTTTTGGAAGGTGGAATTGAAATAATACTTGCCCATGTCAGAGGCGAAATAGACTGGTTCAAAATTATGTCCATACACCTAGGCACATATCATGGAATAATTCTTTATGATTTTATTTATTATAAGAAAACACAAGCTCTATTTATTTTTTTGCTTCATTGTCAATATTTGTAAACAAAGTAAAAAAAAAATGATGCTTAGAATATAGTGGTACAATTCAATAAAACAAATTCATTGGTCCGTGGGGTAAGCAGACATAGATTTAAACTTGTATGGTGGTGGCCCCAAGCAATCTTATCAGGGGATTTTTAATCCGATATGGTTTGTCTTGGTATGGTATTGAAATTAATTTGATAAAATCTGACAGGAAAAAGAAGCCTGTCAAGCATAAGATTTTGCTCTTCTTCTTTGTTCCTTTTATGATTGGGTATAATAACATGATAACAAACCCTGGCATGTCTAATGTTAGTAACCCAATACATGTGTGTACCACATGTAAAACACAGTGGGGATGTAAGAGTGTGGTATATATATATTACAAGACCTGCAGCTATAGTGGTTCCTATAAACTGTCAACACATCAACAGTAGGTAACAGAGGTAATGAATGATAGCATTTGGTATAAGCTGGCATTGTGTCATCTTCAATACTCCTAAATAATCAGTTGAAAGAGCACATGATCACTACGATCAAACTAGAGCTAGAACTTAGTCTTTACATATAGAATATGACTGCTAATTTCAAAATATAAAGACAACAGGAAATGAAATTGACAAAGCTCACTTGGATCAAAATTAGTTGACATTGTGTCATCTTCAATAAGCCTAAGTGATCAATTGAAGGAGCACATGATCATTGCTATCAATTATCAACCTTAGGCTAAAACTTAGACTTTAGATCTACATTTGACAGCTAATTTCAAAATATATATACAGCAGGAAATTAATAAATCCCTCTTTGATAAACTAAAAGTTTAAAAGAGTAAGTGCTAGCTTTTTCCAAAGTTGCTAACACATGGGAATATGTAAGACAATACAAATGTATTGTCCAAACNATTTTTTTCCCCCCCCCCCCCCCCCCCCCCATTATTTTTTGCATCAGTTGAATTAGATATCATACATTCGCTGTCTGTGAATTCTCGTTTTGATGCTTACCTGGTACTTCTTATATTAAGGAAACCAAATAAGATCTCCGTTTTATGCTTTGTTTCAGATAATGCTTCTCACCTGCCACTGTCTGAATTTCAAGCTACGGACAAGTCAGGGCATTAATTTTACATGTAGATCAGGTAAGCTTTGTTCAATACTTAACTGATCAATTTTCGATTACAATCAATCATCAGCCCATCACTAATCTAAAGGATAATTTTTGTGTGTGAAGCGAATTCCTGATGAATTTCTCGCCGAAAAAACAAATATTTACTTATATTTTCATCACCATCTTAGCAAATGGCAGTGAGTTCCACAGTATGTGTGTGATTAATAAGTTGGCAAGGTATATCTTATTGTGTTTGAGTCATTACCATCAATCAGTACACCAGAAAAGGAAAACGATGACCATTTCTTAGGAGTAACCAAGTAGAAAATCTTGACTTGTGCCAAAATATTTTCAAAATCAGTTAAGACCAAAATCAGTTGGTCTTGCAACAATTACTTCTAAAATTTCAAAGGTATACAAAAATAAATTAAATTTGCAAACTCCCTTGCATTGTCGGAAATGTGAAAAAAAGACATATAAGATGAGTTATTGCTTTGACTTGACATCAAGCAATACAAAGTTTTACATATATCTGCTATCAGATCTCTTTATTTGGCATTGATAGGACAGTATATATATTTAATTCTAATTGAAGGAGACAAACGCTGATTTAATGTATTGAAATGTTGAGAAAAAGTCTTCAATTCTATTTGCCTAATTTGTCAGCCTCTTAATTTCAACTTTTAACATGAATTTGTGCATGTATTGATAGGTTTAGTGATTTATGTTAAAACTGTGACTCTATAGGAATTAAAACCTGTCATACTTCAATGTGTACAAGTAGTCAAAGCTTTAGAAATGAGTAAAAAGGGAGAGGCAAATAATTAGATTTTTATTTTGTTCATTGTTTTGTGTTATCAAATAATGAACACCTGTTATTTATGCTATCTTTTTCAGATATTGCAGGTCTACCTAATGAGTATGGCCAGTGTGACTTTTTTCAGAAAAAACTGGATGAAATTGAGATAACAGATGGCAGCTTGTCACAGGTCAGTCAGTTATTCCCCCAAACAAATACTTGAGGGTCAGTAGGTCTAGATCATTGTAACTATAACACCAAACAAATACTTCAGGGCCAGTAGATCTAGATCATTGTAACTATAACACCAAACAAATACTTCAGGTCCAGTAGATCTAAATCATTGTAACTATAACACCAAACAAATACTTCAGGGCCAGTAGATCTAAATCATTGTAACTATAACACCAAACAAATACTTGAGGGTCAGTAGTTCTAGATCATTGTAACTATAACACCAAACAAATACTTCAGGGCCAGTAGATCTAGATCATTGTAACTATATAACACCAAACAAATACTTCAGGGCCAGTAGATCTAGATCATTGTAACTATATAACACCAAACAAATACTTCAGGGCCAGTAGATCTAGATCATTGTAACTATATAACACCAAACAAATACTTCAGGGCCAGTAGATCTAGATCATTGTAACTATAACACCAAACAAATACTTGAGGGCCAGTAGATCTTGATCATTGTAACTATACCACCAAACAAATACTTGAGGGCCAGTAGATTTTGATCATTGTAACTATAACACCAAACAAATACTTCAGGGCCAGTAGATCTTGATCATTGTAACTTTAACACCAAACAAATACTTCAGGGCCAGTAGATCTAGATCATTGTAACTATAACACCAAACAAATACTTCAGGGCCAGTAGATCTTGATCATTGTAACTTTAACACCAAACAAATACTTCAGGGCCAGTAGATCTAGATCATTGTAACTATAACACCAAACAAATACTTCAGGGCCAGTAGATCTTGATCATTGTAACTTTAACACCAAACAAATACTTCAGGGCCAGTAGATCTAGATCATTGTAACTATAACACCAAACAAATACTTCAGGGCCAGTAGATCTTGATCATTGTAACTTTAACACCAAACAAATACTTCAGGGCCAGTAGATCTAGATCATTGTAACTATAACACCAAACAAATACTTCAGGGCCAGTAGATCTTGATCATTGTAACTTTAACACCAAACAAATACTTCAGGGCCAGTTGATCTAGATTATTGTACCTATAACACCAAACAAATACTTCAGGGCCAGTAGGTCTAGATCATTGTAACTTTAACACCAAACAAATACTTCAGGGCCAGTTGATCTAGATTATTGTACCTATAACACCAAACAAATACTTCAGGGCCAGTAGATCTAGATCATTGTAACTATAACACCAAACAAGTACTTCAGGGCCAGTAGGTCTAGATTATTGTACCTATAACCCCAAACAAATACTTCAGGGCCAGTAGATCTAGATCATTGTAACTATTTACTATCATCAGCTATGGTCATTTAAGAACGTGCTAGGTTTTGGTGGTGGAGGAAAGCCGGAGTTACCCGAGATAAACCACTGACCTACGGTCAGTACGTGGTTGTATGTTGTATGAAAACTGTCCTCAATCAATGTTGTGCTTTGTCTTGCCAATAACTAGCATTAGCCAGTGAGTAACGATATATAATATTGTCCTCATCTTTATAACAGCATGTCTGATTGGATGATATAAATCACATGATGGCACAATATAAAACATCATGTTTCCCTCATAGACTCGTCATATTGATCATATTTCCCTTATTCAGAACCTCTCTAGAAAAGTGACAAAAGCCACCACAACCGAGATTAAAATGACTGGTTGAAGACAGCTTTGGTGGGATCAACGTTTACTGACATATTATTGTTTTATTTCAGCATTATAAAGTGTGTATTGTCCCCAAGGAAGGTGACACAACTCTTTGATGTGTATGAAAGTCTAGATATGCCATTAATCTATCCATCAGCAGTACTTTGATGTGTGTGAGAGTCTAGTACTGGCCAATAATCTATCCATCAGCATTACTTTGATGTGTGTGAGAGTCTAGTATTGGGCATTAATCTGTCCATCAGCAGTACTTTGATGTGTATGAGAGTCTAGTATTGGCCATTAATCTGTCCATCAGCAGTACTTTGATGTGTGTGAGAGTCTAGTACTGGCCAATAATCTATCCATCAGCATTACTTTGATGTGTGTGAGAGTCTAGTATTGGCCAATAATCTATCCATCAGCATTACTTTGATGTGTGTGAGAGTCTAGTATTGGCCAATAATCTATCCATCAGCATTACTTTGATGTGTGTGAGAGTCTAGTATTGGCCAATAATCTATCCATCAGCATTACTTTGATGTGTGTCAGAGTCTAGTATTGGCCATTAATCTATCCATCAGTAGTACTTTGATGTGTGTGAGAGTCTAGTATTGGCCATTAATCTATCCATCAGCAGTACTTCGATGTTTGTGAGAGTCTAGTATTGGCCATTAATCTATCCATCAGCAGTACTTTGATGTGTATGAGAGTCTAGTATTGGCCATTAATCTATCCATCAGCATTACTTTGATGTGTATGAAAGTCTAGATATGCCATAAATATATCCATCAGCAGTACTTTGATGTGTGTGAGAGTCTAGTATTGGCCATTAATCTGTCCATCAGCAGTACTTTGATGTGTATGAGAGTCTTATTGCCCATAAATATATCCATCAGCAGTACTTTGATGTGTGTGAGAGTCAAGTATTGGCCATTAATCTGTCCATCAGCAGTACTTTGATGTGTGTGAGGGTCTAGTATTGGCCATTAATCTGTCCATCAGCAGTACTTTGATGTGTATGAGAGTCTTATTGGCCATAAATATATCCATCAGCAGTACTTTGATGTCTGTTTACTAATGTTATTATTCTTATTTTCACTGACATCTGATCACACCAAAGAGTTATCTCCCCTTTCTATTACTTTCTTTTTATGCTGTAGATCTTTTGATATATATACATTACATTCAATACTATGAACAAATTTAAAGTGAAATCCCTTTTCACTTGATGGCAGTTCACTCAGAGATATCATAATTTGATAAACATAATAACAGGTATTTGGGTGAGAGCCCACCAAATTTGTTCAAATAAATTACATGAATACATAAAATATTATAAGGGTCCAATGAATTAAAGTAGTAGGCTTCTAATGCTGAGGCCATGATATTTGGTGTCCACACGTAGCTTAAATTTCATATTTCTTATATATTGTCTTGCTTTGGTAATTCTGCAAAGAACAAAAAATGTCTGCTGTCTCTTTGATTTTGACCACACATATTAGACCCCCACGCATTGAGTCCATTGACACAAAAAAATGAAAACAGTTGTACTATAAATTCATATCCTGTACTGGTTAATGCTATCAGCTCAATATTGAGCAGGGATGTAATAGTCCACTAGCCCCACACACAGAGCTACCAGATTTTCAGCTTTTGCCAATAAAATTTAGAAGTATACTAGCCCGGGGCTATAGTGACTTGTTTATGATGTTATAACTGACACAGATGTTAATGCTCAATGCTATGATCATGAGGGTATCAATCACAACACAACATAAATAACCTTTAAAGTCAATACTAACCACCAAAATAGCACTCTTATATATATAATTACGAATCAATCTCTTCTATTTGACATATTAAACATTTAGAGTACAGAAATAAAATTCACCTCTCCAAAAGTCGGCAATGTTTTGATGCTTTCTAATACGGGAACAGGTACATATCCGGACTAATTTTCAGGAGAATTAAAAAAGTTTTGTTTTAGATTTATTTAGATTCAATTACAGTTTTAAAGGTAATCAGGTGGCCATGGGGCTTCATATTATAAAATGAAGTTGTATTTTTCAATTAAGGATATTTATGCTTTGATGACTGTGATATAGAAGCTTATATTAATCTTTTTTGTACTTGTCGGGCTTGCAGAATTATATTTCATGCTAGCGGATTATAACCTTGTGTCTATTAGCCCTGGGGTAGTATCTTGAAAATTGCCCCTGCGTTTAGAGAGCAGTACGTGCCCTAAGAACCAGTTTTTATATGCTGTAATCTGCGTGTACATTATAAAGATGGCCTTGACAACTTTTCTGTAAACCAAAACATTAAGACTCAGCAGTGATAAGGTGTTTGGACAACCTTTCTCCTTGAACTGCTGTAATCTGTTTGTACATTATAAAGATGGCCTTGACAACTTTTCTGTACACCAAACATTACCCCCTGCTGGATGATTTATCATATATCAGATTAGAGTAATGTTTTCTAGTCAAAACATAATTTATCTATATTTACAAAAAAAGTGTGAATGCATATGTTATTTAATGCAACCAGCCTAAGCTGAATAAAGTATCACTTAAAACTTTGAAAGGAATTTTTATCATAAATGTCTTGGACGATATTTTTTGTACACATATAGGTTTTCAGATGGTCATGGTCACCTGGAGACCTGAATATAGTTTAGTATTTAAAATGTATCTGAAATTATGTTGAATTTTTTTTTATTAAGCTCATGGGACCTTGAAGGTCTGTCTCTATTATTGATGTACTTTATCTCTAGTGTTATCGCCGTGGTATGGATAAGATACCAGTGTCGGTTCACCTGTGTATCGCTACATATATTTCATTATCAGGTACAGAGTACAGACACTTGTGTAACTGCAGCAGTTACTATGTTAAATTATATAAATTATATAAAAGTTTCCAGTAATTGTAAGTATCTGATACCAGTGGGATATCAGATATAACAGGAAAGTTGGATCAGAGATGAGAGATGCAGATTTAAGATTCGTATCAGTCTGCATTCACTGCCTAGTTTCTACCTGCGTGTTATGGAATATTGAGACAGAGATATTTTTACTTTCATGAAACTGTAAGTACTGGTTAGGCTAAAAAACTATCTGTTGGTCCACTTTCCAGATTGCAATCAGATGTGTGATAATTCCTATTTTTATATACATGTAAATGTTAAGACAATTAACATTTACCAGAATAATTTAAAAGTTTAATGGTTAATAGTTTACACAACTTAATCTTGATGGGACTTTTCTATTCTTCCAAATATGCATATTGGCTAATAAGGGGAGACATATGGTTTTATTCACAAAAACAAATTT